AAGCTTATCTCCTTAAGCTTTCGGCTTCGGCTGATATTTCGTCTTCGCAATTGAGTGATGATGGCTTCGGCTGAGAGAGTCGAAGCTTCGGTTGCGAGAGGCGTTGTTTTGGTGAGAGCGGCTTATAAGCGATGCGTTGGCCTATGTGTGGGAGGTTTGGGAGATGAGTCGGCTTGAATGAAACAGGCAGGCGCAGCTGGTGATTGGTGTCAGCTTTCATCTTGAGAACTCACTTGTTTACAAGAGTTCTCCTATTATGGATATGTTACTATACATATATAAATAGATAGCGGACCCGGCGAACGTTATATCGTAAACAGTAAACTAATTTTTCAGCTGCGCCTTTTTATCCGTTTGTTTCACATGAAAATCATTTCTAGCGGACCCGACAGACGTTGTGCTGTCTTAACTATAAATATTGATTTCGAATTGGTATAATTAACTAAAAAAGATTTAAGAAAGAAAGTGTTTATTATTGTAATGCTTTATGATAAACAACATTCTTTGTTTTTTTCTCTGGCGCGTATATAAATAGTTTGGTTGGTACTCCGACTCGGGAACAGGCGACATACATATAACTGGCCATGCGAAAAACATTGATTTTCAAGATTAACAAACAATTAGCGACTGCCCTTAAGATTTATTTATCGATATTGTAAATGCTAGCCTCACTGGAAACTGTAACCGTTTAAAGTCGAATGGCATGTCGTTCGAAATCAAAGGAATCTGTGGAATCAAAACGTCTTCTCCTTTATATTTCTCTTTCAAAATTGTGGCTTCGATGACGTTGTTCATTTCTTCATCGCAAGTCGGGTGCCATTACAAAGAAGTGGCTGGTTTATATTCCGCAACATAATAATTACCGATCCGATCTTTAGTTGCAGATTATGAGGTGGTAGTCTGGGCAATTCCATCGAATTTAAGAACTCCGTTGGATAGTTGACAACATCATCTTGGTTAGTAACGGATTCAATCGATTTGTATGGTTTTAATTCGCTAGCTATATTTTTTTTAATTTGGAAATTCATTTCGTTGACATCAACGTTTTTTGCAGCCAATATAACTCTTTCGCTCAACCATACATGATTTTTAAAATTTTGAGCAATGTTTGGGAAAACCTTCTCGATGAGTTGTGTCTTTCAGTAAAGTTACAAAAATTGGTAGGAAATGTGATGTATCCAGACAATGAGTCAACAGGTATTTTTCCATTACCAATATCTAGCAATTGTCTGGAAAAAACTTCTCCAGATTGCTCGTTCTGCAATTCGAATCGCATGTTTATATTTAATTTGAGCGTTTTAACGTTTTTCAATAAAATGGATGACTTTAAACATGCGTTAAGTTTGACGGCTGGTGTTGTTTGGCGAAAATCTCCTGCTAATAAAATCAGTGCACCACCAAACCGGGTTTGGTTCTTTCGGAAATATTGCAACGGTCTAATGCTTCCAATGATTTTTTGTGTGCCATCGTGCACTCATCCCAATTTATTAATTTGCTCTGTTGGCCATCGGAGAATTTTTTGAAAGGTTGCAAGTTGGTGTTTCATTTATTTGCATGTTCAACGGCAACTTGAGTGTGGAATGAGCTGTTCGACCGCCTTCCAACAACGTAGCTGCAATACCTGACGAAGCAAGTGCAAGTGCGATACTATTTTGCGATCGAATCGTTGCCAAAATCAATGATATCAAAAACATTTTCCCAGTCCCACCGGTAGCATCTAAAAAAAATCCGCCAGTTCCATCGTTCACTACTTTCATAAGCGTACCGTAGACATATTGTTGTTTCTCATTTAAAAGGGGAACATTTCCTTGAACGGTTTCTTTTAATGCTTCGGAATCATATTTCGTTTCGCGTCTCAACTCTTGATTAAATGCGTCGTGCATTTGGCGATTAGGCGCTGTCATTCCTAACTGTATTAATACTTTGTTGGCAAGCATCAAGCACATGTCTTCAATTAAAATTAATGCTTTATTGTACATTTCTTCATTTATTTGCAAATTATCATTTAAGGTTCTAACACGCTCCTGATGTTATATATGTATCTTCGGCCATGTAATCTTTATATTTGTTCCATAAATCAATCGGTGTTGATGGGAAGCATGTAGAAAAAGTATGGCAAACAATGTTCGTATTTGTTTAGCATTTGACGAAATCACAGCATCTTCAAAAGTGTGTGGTCCCAATGAGTGTCATTCTCGAGCAGTCCCATACGTTGACATGCTTCTCTGTATATGCCGTACAATACACCATTAACAGTTTTCAGATGTTGAAATGATGTTGGGCCACGAACATTGACTAACAGTAAACGAAAATAAAAACACTCGTCTTGGCTGGGATGCACTGTGTAAAGACGTTCTAGTGCATCTGTGGAAAATACTTGTTAGTAATTTGGAACTGGCTGTCCTTGTTTTCGTCGTTGAAATTTCTTTAATGATTGATTCCAGGTATAATATCGTGGCATTTCGGAATTTTAACTTAAAATTTTTAAGTGTTCTTGTAAAGTCATCATTCTGGCACATTTCAATGAAGCTGGTCAATGTTGTCGATGGCGGCCTCTCAATTCGTTGTAATACGTTTTTCGTTGTAAAGTACCATTTTCCAGATGTACGGCCAAAATGAACAACAGTGGGATATCTTTCATGTATTCGTAATGAAAAAATACGCCACAATGTTCTTCCACTGTCGTCAGTGGATCACCAGCGATAAAGTGGGTAACCATCATTTCCATTAATAGTTTCTGCTACTAATTGTCTTAGAAAGCGTTTTGAACATTTTCCACTCACCATAAACGGAGAATTTTGATTTAATGTTCCACAGGGACCATGAATCATATTTTTTGTAACAATCTCATATAACAATGAATCTTCATCATTATTAGGAATTTCCGCAGGTATCACATCGTCTATTTTATCCGGTCTTATTCTCTCTACCAACCAAATGAGGATGTGTGCATGTGGCAATCCGCGTTTTTGCCATTCGATTGAGCATCCAACAGCGCGTTTCGCTGAATACACGATGCTTAACAATGTAATCCATGAGTGATTTTAACGTTCTTATGTTGCGGACTTCCGACGTATGTTTCTGGGCGAATAGTTATTCTACCTACATTCTGTGCATTTCCGTCAGCATTGATAGCATCACGAAGATAAATGTATTCTTCAGAACGCAGTTTTACCTAGTTAAACCTGATAAATGTCAATTGCTCCGTTTTAACTTTCACGTACATATCCACAGCATATTGGTGGAATAGACGCCGACCTTTTAATAGTAGTAGTAGTTCTTTATTTTAATTTGTATTAAGGATAAATATAAATATAAATAATTAAATTTAATTTTCGAACTATTCTGTTGGCGTGGCTGGGATGCCGTTCGCCCTATTAATATTGTTACTTAATTTTATTAATGATATTTTCGCCTACTCTAAAATCGCTCTCTCTCAATACATTCTCTCTGTAAAGCAACATTTCCTTAACGAAATGTGCCAGTTCGTTCCAGCCCGTTCCGTTGTGCAGGGCAGTCAAGCCCAGGACTGTTAGAGTTGGACTACCGTTGGACAGAAAGTGCATCGTATCCTCCGGTGCGTGCATATTGCACAGCGTGCACTCTGCTGCAGAGAGACTTCTGTATGGGGACGCGTTAAGGTATAGAGTTTCTGTGCGTGCTCTGAAGATAGTTGCAGTCTACCAGATTATGGGCAAGGCTACTGTATAGAGGCCTTGATACGCTTTCACTAGCTCGTTGTGCCCACGCTTGTCTATCCCCCTCGTCTGTGGCTCTGATGATCTGGTCATGCCATGTTCTCCACAATGCAGGGTTTTGAGAATCTATGGAAATTCCCCGGGCGTTTGCTTTCGCTTCCCAGCTCGCGATGAAATCGGTTTTGTTGTTTGTCACATATTTAAGTACCTTGTTTGGGAGTCGATCGTCAGGCATATCCATCACTTTGGTTGCATAGCTGAAATGTTTTTGCAGCGTATATATAAATACTGCCGAGAGACCAGTTTCCAGATGGATTGCGTACGTCGGCGTGTTTTGTGGGAGTCTAAAGATTTTTTTAATATAAAATCGCAGGAGTTTTTCTGCTGCTTCATAGCGCTCGTGTCCCCAAACTTCCGCTGAATAGCCCATTATAGTTTGTGCTGTTGCCATGTATATTTTATATTTTGTGCTCGGAGAAACTTTTCTTTTGCCAAGTGCAATTTAAAGCATCCTTTGCGTCCGCTAGCTTGTTTTGTACATGCTTCTCAAAGCTCATATTTTGAGTTAGTGTGACTCCAAGGTACTTAAACTCACGGACCGTTTCCAGTATCTCTCCATTGAGGGTCCACGTTTCGTGCTGTGCCCTGCGGCCTCTGCCATCTTTTATCACCATGACTTTTGTTTTTTCGGCGTTGATTCTTAGGCCCCAAGTTTGGCAATAATTTTGCATGGTGTCGATCATTTCTTGCAACATGGTGTGCGATTCTGCCAAGATTACCATGTCGTCTGCGTACATAAGTACCTTGACGTTCTCCGTTCCTATATGTACTCCTCCGGTCAGGACCGACGATATGTCGTCCACGTACAGGGAAAATAGCAGTGGGCTTAGGAGACATCCTTGCTTTAATCCCAGGTTGCATGAGAACCATTCTATGTCGGTCGATGGTGTCGAAAGCCCCTTTAAAGTCTATGAAGCAGGTGTACATCTTCTGGTTTCGCCTCCTGTACTCTTTTGCTATAGCCACCAGCACGAAAATGCTGTCCACTGTGCTGTAACCTCTTATAAACCCAGCTTGGTATTCGCTGAGCACACCATTCTTTTCTACCCAGTCATTAAGACGCGAAAGCACTATTGATGCGAAGACCTTCATAGTCGAAGTAAGGAAGGATATCCCCCTATAGTTCGCTGCATCAGTGACATTGCCTTTTTTGTGTATCGGGTAAATAATGCTTTGCCTAAAACTTTCTGGGACATTCTCTGCATTCCTAATAAACAACAAATACAATTTTCTGGTGCGTTTTTTAGGAATTCTGCTGGTATCCGGTCGATTCCGGGGGCTTTACAGTTTTTGCTCTTGTTCACTGCTGCCTTGACTTCCCACTGCGATATTTCCTGGTCTAGCTCTCTATTTACGGTATATGGCAAAGCAAAATAGTGCTGTATCGCTTGGTTGTCCTGTAGATTTTTAAAATGCTGCGCTAAGCTGTCCGGTTCAACTCTGATTTGCATGCTCCTATTGATCCCATTCAACCTCCTGACAAACTCCCAGAAACCCTTGCTATCTTTAATATTATTTACTTTAAGCTCCATATTCCTATAGTGGTCGTCCTTTTTTTTCTGCACATTGTTTTGAAGGCTGTGTTGGCTTCTTGGTACTCCCGCTTCTCATCCGCATTGCCTGTGTGAAGTGACCGTTTCCATGTGATCATTGATCTTTGTCTCGCCCGATGGCATTCAGAGTCGAACCATGGCTGTTTTCTTGTATAGTGGGTGGGTTTTTGCATGCAGGCTGCCGCTATCTTTATCCAGTTTGTTAGGGTCTCAATATTAGGTGCTTCGGGTTGGCAGTCTTGCCGTTCGCTTTTCTGCTCGAGTTGGGCTCTGTACTGTTGTCGGTACCTATCGTTCCATTGCAGTTTCGGGAGCAGTTTGTTGTCGTGTGGATTGGGTTGTGCGCGAAGGTCGATTTGTATCGCTAACGGTAAGTGGTCCGAGAAAGTTTCGGGCACTACTTGCATATCATCAATGCGATTATGCCACATGCCATTGATAAGACAGTAGTCTATTGTGGACACCGCTTGGCCTCCTTTGAAGGTGTAACTTTCGTCCCCGCCGCTTTGCGTTCTGCCGTTAAGGACCGTGAAGCTGTTGTCCTCGCACATCTCTATTACATTCTTGCCATTGGTGTCTACTTTAATATCCTTTGCTGCCCTGATTAGCATTTCGAATTTTCCTGCGTGGTCTTTACTCACAGGGGTGCCCTGATGTGTTCCTATTCTAGCATTAAGGTCACCCACGACCATTACACTAGAACTCGTGGACTCTTGGATCATGTCGCATAGTTGATCATAATAGCCTTGCCAGCCATTGCAGTTGAGGAAGGTGTTCGTCCTCGTTTACGATTTTTATAGATTCTGCGCCACTGATGTCGTGAAAGCTGCAACATCCAGATGCGACTAAGTCTGTGTGGATGCCTCTTAGTTGACCACCACTTTCTCTTCCTCTAGCTGCCGTTCTTACGACTGGCTCCCATGACAGAATATGATTTGGGAAGTATGGTTCGTACTGCTGCATGTTTTGGTCGACAAATGTTTCGTATAGGAAAAATATTTCATAAGTATTTATTTGTTTGCTAAACCTGCGATGTTGTATGACAATATATTAATGTGTATGCTGTTTTAAGTGCGTATTTGCCGTTCTAGTTTTTTGATTCCCTGGCTTTGGTGAGAAGTCGCGTGTGAGTAATGTCGGTTTCATCCAATGCAGCGCCATAGAGTTCCTTTAGAATCGAGTTAGCTGGCTTTCCTTTGCAAGTGAGCTCGTGGGCGTTGTTAAAGGACACCCATTTGCCCTCTACACAGATCTGGTCATTTTTGACGAAGGCTCTATGGTTCTTGTTTATGGAAACCAGCTCCTTTTTCAACTGCATTAGGGCCAGCTTGTTTTCTTGCTGCTGTTGGCTAAGGTCTCTGTCAATATAGACTGAACTACCCGCTAGCTTTTTTCCATTTTTTATTACCTCATTTATCGCCGAAGCATTCTCCATTTCCACCAGCACTCCCATCTTATTGTTTCGTTGGTAGAGCTCTCGGGTTTCTCGTACTGATACGTTCAGGATCGCCATTTTACCCCGTAGCAATTTTTCCACTCCCTCCTTTGTGGCATCTTCCTTCTCTAGGCCTTTGAAAATTAGGTTCCGGGCCTTGCTGCTTTGCTCGAGTCTGCTAAGCTCCTTTCGGTCCTGCTCTCTGTCGCTTTTTAATTGATGGAAATCGCGCTTTAGAGTCTCATTCTCCGCTTTAAGAGTTTCGATCTGGTCGGACACTGATTCTAATTGGGACTTTAACGTCCCTATATCCTCCTTTGTTGCCAATTTGTCGAACCGTTGGCCCATTTGGTTGATGGCCTGCATCACGTCTCCCAGCGGCGTACCTGGGGGCATCTGCTTTGCACCTGGAGGAGTCCTGTTTAGTGACATCTTTGTGGTTCTATTTTTTTTTTTATGTTAAGCTTTTATATTTTTACAATTTATTATTTTGTTGACGCCTGAAAGTATGCTGTGGATAGTTTGTCTTACGTTACAGCATGCAGGTTCCGATCCGTGTTATGTTACAGCTTTGACAAGCTTTCAGCGCTTGGTGCAGTTGCGTTGCGTGTCTGGTCCACTCACGTCGCTGCAGTAGCTGATCAGTTCCACCTCTGGCTTTGCTTTTGTTGCTTACTTGTGTTTTCTCCCGCGTCAATTTTCACTCAAGAGGCACTTTTACCCACTTTCCACGAGAATTTCCAGTTTTCAGCGTTTGCAACCTGTGTTTTTATTTGCTGATATACGTCCGTGGCCCTTCCGTATCGGTCTGGTATCAAATGTCTGGTTAGAGAGCCTCTTTCTTTATCTGTTGCGCATCAGCTGGCGTTCCGTGTTGTTGCAGGTGTCTCACAATCTGATCATGGGCCGGAGCACGTCACGAAGCACGTCTGAACGGTAGGCGGTACGAGTTACAACTACCTACATGTTAGATGTAGAATATACATTGTATATGTAGATGTAGATAGCAGATGTAGCAAAAATATGTAAAATGTAAAATTTTTTTTTTATTCTAAAATTTAAAAAAATTATATGCTCAAAATTGTATATACTGACTGAGTACGGGTATAAGTAGAGTCGCGTCTCCAGAAGCGACTTGCACGTTCCTTCTCGTTTTTTCATTAGTTTCTAGACCTGTGACTGTATTTATCATCTTCATTAAAAAATAATACCCATCTTCACCTTGCCAAAAATAAGTTAGGATATTGTAACGCATCATATGATCGATGTGTTTTGGATACACGCTGCAGTTGATTGCTACGCCGGTGTAAAACAATATCTCGGTTTTCTTAATTTTCACCCACGACGACAATGTTGGCGCATTAAAACGTCTCGCGTATTCTCCTACAGGCGTCTTATCAGCTTTGACGGCAATTCTGTGGTTATCAGGCGGCATTCGGTCTAATGCGGTCGTGAATAATGCAACCAATTCGTTATGTTGATGGAAAAACGTTTGGAGTTGTTTCACAATTGGTCTTTTCACTGAATTTTTGTGTGCACAAATTTTGAGTCACTATCCGGAGTTGGCAATAATGAACCTGTTAGATGATGACCCTGAATCTTTAAAGTTGTCGGAAATTTGTTTTGAATAACTTTTGTTGCGCCGAATGATGTTATCTGAAAGCAATTATTAGATTGCTGGATATTATTCAAAAAATGATTAGAATATGGCCCATTTCCTGAAACCAATGAATGTAGTGGCTCTGGTGGCGGTACCAATGGTAGGGGAGAGGGCCCTGTTGTGGACCAGGTACTAGTTGTGACCCACCCCCCAAAAACTTGGACAGTCAAGCAGATGCTTCTAAACTGAGTATTGGGAGTCATATTCGGTAACAATACGCAGTTTTTGTGCTAATACCGAAACAAATAGCTGCTTTGGTCTAGGTGCTGTGAGCATAATAATAAAAAAAATGGGGGAAAAAAAAAACTTCAAAGTAAATTTTATTATTTTTCAAGTGCGAAAAAATGTATGTATATTTTGTCCAAAAATTATAGTATTTCGTTTTCCTTGTAGTGTGGTCATTGTAGTTTGTGAATTGTTTTCGTTTTTAACCAAAATATATGCACAACATTTTTTTTTGGTTTTTTGGAAAAATTGTCTGTTTTGACGGTTATGACACACGCCAAGATACCTGTTGTAGACATCTTGTATTTTGTATTTAATGCGTGTATTTGGTTACGAAGCTGCATAATATTGTTGTTTAATGTAATTTAGTACAAATAAATAACATTTAGACCACAGTACATTAGTTTGAGCTTTGAGCTTGATATCGAATTTAGACGATGCAGCGGCTGCATGGCAGCATGTGTACGTGTGACGTATACGATCTCATTTCACGCGTACAATGCTGCACAGAATATCAAACTGTATTGCTTCCTTGAGGAAGCAGGCATCTGTTTCTGCCCAGAAAAAGCGCGGACGGAAGGCATCATTAGGCAAACCAGCAGCTAAGCGAAGCAAGGCTCTTTCGGAAGATGATAAGGATTTCTGCATCATCTGTCTGCACCTCCTGCCAAAGAAGTTGACCGCCGCAAACTCCATCGAATGCAATGAATGTAGTCGTCTGGTGCATTTAAAGTGCGCTAATATGCGTGCCAGCTACTTCACATGCAAACACTGCGACTCTGACTACAATGATTCATGTTAAAAAGTATCATCCTTCTTTCTCTTTAAGCCAGTAGGCTCTTAAAATAAATAAACTTCCAATTTCTCATTATTTGTGGTGATTTTCTTTCATATTTTTTAATTTTAAGCGGATTTTTCAGGGTGGTCCACAACTAGGCCTATATTTTTTTTTCTCGAAAAAAGATTACTTCACTAAATTCTTGATAACATTTTTCCGAATGAAGGAATGATAGTTAGCTAATGCCTCTAGCTTTAAATTGGTACACATATGTTTGTATAATATGCAATTGGTCAAAAGTTATGAGGCAAAAACCTAACTATGTCCACAACCGAGCCCTCTCCCTTATCAATTGGACTTGACCGCTCGCGCAACACAATCCAGTAGCTTAATTTTTAAACTTAAATGCCTTGCAGTATTGGCAAACAACGTTAATTTGTCCAATAGCAACGATATGCTTTCAACTTCATTCCTCGCTTCGCGTTGCTCGTCGGTTTGACATACTCTTCTATATCTGTGACTTGCAGAATTGTAAGTTATGCGACTTAAGCCTGTACGTCTAATTGCTGGCATTTTTAAAAACGAAAATTCCTTTGTAAATTTTAGAAAACTTTTGCAACGCATCATATGATCGAAGTGTTTCATATACTGATAGGTCTCTCTGTCAAAGTAATAACCATTTGCTTACGTTTTTTGCAGCCAATATATCGGGGATTCTAGACCCTTAAACCTTCTCCTGACAATAACCAACACAACAACAAAACAATTAGCGAAATCGGTCCAGCCGTTCACGCGTGCTGCCGGGAGCAAGGGAAATAGGGATTCATTTATATATATATAGATAGATTAAGGTCACATACATATGTATATACTATAGGTTTACGCTGACTGTTAGCTTCGGCGGCGGCGTGGAGGCCAGAAAGAATCTATGGCATCGGCTTTGCCGGCGAATTGGTCGGCGCACAGTGGCTCGTTTTCCGAAAACTCGTTGCAAATGTCGGATATCGGATTGGGAAAACTTTTGTTACACTTAAATTAGGAATTGATCAAGCTATTCAAAACCAGTATTTTAAAATTTACAAAAATTTTTAAAGATTTATAACACTAGTCAGCACTAGCCCAAAATAACTTTTTCTGATAGATTTCGGGGTTTAAAATATTTTTGCGAATTATGGTTTTTTTTTATGTTGTAGTTTTTTTTTTTAAAGAATTTTTCAAAATCTGCTATTTTTTTAATGTTTTTTTTTCAGAGGTAGTGCTTCTATTTTTCACATAACTTAAGTATCTTATATCTGGTTTTTATTTTAAAATCTCGAGAAAAGTCGAAAAAAAATAATTCTTGTCCAACATTTTTGGTTTTAGATAAACGCATTAATTAGGCGTCGTCTAAGGTATTGCTCATCAATATCTATGGACAAACGGTCAACTTGCAGGCGTTTGACCAAAACGACTCAAAACTAATTTGACCTGAAATTAGTGCTTTTATTTTTCACATAACTTAAGTATCTTATATCTAGTTGCATAGAACTTTGCAGTTATAAAAAGCTGACAAATGCAGCTATAAATCCGACCCAGACCAAAGTTTTTTAGACACGAGTGAACTTAAAACTTACAATTTAAAATTTTGGTGGCTTTGCACAAATTATTTTTAGAGAAGTCTTATGGTCCATTTAATTCTTTCTTCATTATTTACGGTCTCTGATTTGAAATGATATTTTTTAAGTTTAAAGAGAAAACTTTTATTTATTAACTGCTTGCGCCGCCGCACAGTGGCTCATATTCTCAAAACACGTTGCAAAATTAATAAATTTTGAACCCGGCTAGGTAAAAGTCTGAAATTTAAAACATATATTTGCAATACTTAAAATAATTTTTGAAAAGAAAAATTAAAGTAGGCGTGTCACTGGAAGGGGCGTAATTAACGGTCAAACTCGTAATATCGTTTTTTTACCCTAAAAACCATCATAAAAAATAAAAAATTAAACATGCAAATATATTTTTGTACAACAAATCTTAGTTTTTAATAAATACTAATAAAATTAAAAAAAAATTTGTTTTTAATTATTTATTTTGCACTTTCTGAGATGATAGCACGAAAAGTTAACGTCCAAAAAACGTCAAGTAAAAATTTTGAACAATCGATTTTGTTAGGTTTTTAAATCATGAAATAGAGGCGTAATCGAAGCGTTTTTCGAAACTGCGAAAGAAAATCTTTCCCAGCAAATGGCTAACACCTATAGTTCATAAGAAAAACGACAAAACGAAGATTTGTTAAACTTGCTGTTAGCTTCCCGGATGAGAGCCGTTCGGAATTTTTTTTTCCGAAATTTTGATTTTAAAAACTCGGGAAAATTCGAAAAAAAAATTATTCTTGGTTTAATTTTCCCGAGTTTTTAAAGTCTATGCAACCAGATATAATATACTTAAGTTATGTGAAAAATAGAAGCACTACCTCTGAAAAAAACCATGAAAAAAATTTCAGATTTTAAAAATTAAAAAAAAAAAATGCTTATTAGGCTGTGCCAAAATTTGACCAAACATTTTTTTGGCCCAGCCTAATGCATATGCATTTAATTAAATATTTTCATATTTAACGAAAAATTTTCCCTATTTCCAAATGGGGCAACTATTTTAGAGGAATATACTAATTTTAAGTCCGGAACGGCTCTCATCCGGGAAGCTAACAGCAAGTTTAACAAATCTTCGTTTTGTCGTTTTTCTTATGAACTATAGGTGTTAGCCATTTGCTGGGAAAGATTTTCTTTCGCAGTTTCGAAAAACGCTTCGATTACGCCTCTATTTCATGATTTAAAAACCTAACAAAATCGATTGTTCAAAATTTTTACTTGACGTTTTTTGGACGTTAACTTTTCGTGCTATCATCTCAGAAAGTGCAAAATAAATAATTAAAAACAAATTTTTTTTTTAATTTTATTAGTATTTATTAAAAACTAAGATTTGTTGTACAAAAATATATTTGCATGTTTAATTTTTATACCCGTACTCAAAAAAGAGTTAAGGGGTATATTAGATTTGTGGTAAAAGTGGATGTGTGTAACGCAGAGAAGGAAACGTTTCCGACCCCATAAAGTATATATATTCTTGATCAGCATCAATAGCCGAGTCGATAGAGCCATGTCTGTATGTCCGTCTGTCCGTCTGACCGTCTGACCGTCTTTCTGTATTGTTGAGCGCCTAGATCTCAGAGACTATAAAAGCTAGGGCAACCAAATTTGGTTTCCAGACTCATGTGATATCCCACTGCTACAAGTGTATTTCAAAATTTCGCCCCGCCCCCTT